ACACTCTAAAACATCTTCCAGAAAGGATAGCAAACAGAAAGGAGCAACCTAAGGAGGGGGCATCGTTTGGTAAGTGTGTTTATGAGGCAATGCTCATAAGATCACCGTGTGAGGGTAATGTTAAAACAAATTAAATGCATGAAACAACCATCTATATTACTGTCATTAGCCCCCAAAATCAGTTCCAGAATGGCCTGGATAATATGGGAAGAGCACAGCTGTGACTACATTGATCGGCTGTTTCGAGCTATTGGATCTCGGGTAGGATTAAAGAGATCCTAAGAAACATATACATTTACATCAGTTACTTTAATAAACGTTAAACACAGTGTTTGTTTTTCATCTATCAGATTCCTTTGAAAACAATGTGGATGGGCAATCCCGTCAAACTTCTGGACTTTGTTGGCCAATGCAACGTGATGTTTACAGGTAACCAGGCTTGCTTATTTGATGATTTTAAAGTGTTGGCCGTGACTGTGCGTTTTCACACCTGACTCACTTTTCTAAAATATGGCACGTTTTCTCCCTTATTTCAGTTCGTTTTGGTATATACTGTATGTATATACAGTATAACTGTATGTACAGTTGCATTCAGATATACACTAAAATAATTGGTCCATGATTGTCTGAATTAATTGGTCTTGGCCAGATTGAAAACTCTGGAGCGGTTCTCTTGTGGTGAGAAAGCAATCCGACCCATCAGAACAACAAACCAAGTTGTATAATAATTACTTTTTGCAATTAAAAACCAAGAACCTCTTCTTGTTAAATTGTCATTGTTCTTCTCCAAAACAGCTGTACTGCAATGTTAATAATTTATGTCATTTTTTTAATATGCATCTTGATGGATGAACACTATGAGCATAATTCCGGAACATGAACAGGTGCACTTGCACCAATGAGAGTTTTTACACACATGTGACTTGCACGAACACATTTTGGGTACGCTGTGTGTTGACTTTTAAATGCGAACTAAACCAAGGAGATAATGAGACATTGTAGCAATTTAAGTCCCTGTTTCGGAACAAAGCAAACAATCTACAGGTCTGAAAACGCCATAACTAACGGTTTGTCTACTGGAAAGAGTAATGTAAGGGATCACACTTTCTTTCACCTTTCTTTGCAGCTGCTCCATATTTATCTGCAGTACCAGGGTCTGTCCATTATCAGAAAGAATCCAATATCCTACTCGTTCGTTGCAAGGTATGCACATGGAGTTTGGAAATGTTACTACACACACACACACAGGTGTCCACTGGCACAGAAGAAATACACTTAAATTGCCCCTATTATGGTTTTTCAAATATTCCCTTTCATGCAGTGTGTAATATAGCTGTTTGTGAATGTAAATTTTCTGTAAAGTTGAAAGTGCACAATAAATAAATTTATTGTCTCCCAAAAGAAAGAATCGACTCTGAACTGCCAATACAAGTCGTTTTTCATTCGAATCCTACTGTTTTACGGTTCTACGTCACTAGAAGATTAATTTGCATAATGCCCTCCTATGTTGTACGTTGCCCGCCTGCGAACAACTTGACCAGCCCTCAAATGTCATTTTAGTTCAACGCGGGATTCGCAAAACGTTTGCTCTAGAAAGATGTCAGCACCCAGTTTTTTTTAACCAGCTTGCTCCTCAGAATCACAACCTCTAAGTATGAATAATTATTGATGTATATATTTTCTACCGGGTGTTCAAAATACTTAGTTTTTTAGTGTTTAATAATGTGTACGTTTCTGGCCAACCGGTTAACTCACGTTATTACTGTCTCACTTAAATACTTCTGCTAATCAGCTGTGGGCCACTATTACCTAATACTGCGTCTATATTAATACAGATCGTCTGTCGTTCGTACTACTTTGAGTAAAGATAAAGGTTGGAGCAAGATTTCTTTTACAAACGTTTGTTACATCAGTCATTCATCACGTTAGTGCTTGGCTAATGTATGCACCGTTATTGATACTGTTCCCACATGTGCACTCCAATAAATTAGAAATATATACATTGGTTTGTTGATGGACATACTCTTGTTAATACTAATGGTTAGGGGAATTACAGCTGCAACATCTCATAATGTAACGCAAACTGAGTAGTTAGTGTATCACCGAGAAACGTCCTGCTCAAGTTGTCCTTGCGATGGAGGTTCAGATTGACTAACTAGTTCTTCCAATGTTTCACCATCGGGCTTGCGCTCAGATTGATATGGTAAAATCGACGTCATCGTTACTGTCTTTACAGTTCAATCGCTGAGCATTCGGTAGCCTCCGGACAGAGCTAACGTTCAGTTATGGTTCTGAGGCGCTGTATGCGGTTGACCAATCACAACAGACTGAGCTGTCTGGCCAATCAGAGCAGAGCAGGCTCTCGGAAAGGAGGTGAGAATGATTCATCCATCGAGTCGTTTGAGAATCATTGAAAAATGGTGATGTGCGATGTATATTATGAGAAAATTAAACTGTTTTGATGCATGTAAACCTGCTGTAGGAGACCTCAAAAACAAAATTAGGAACCTTTAAAATAGCATTATAGGGGCACTTTAATACTAATCAAACAGCCAGAGGCCTGCCACTTTGGTGGTGTGGATATAGAATGTACATCAAAGTTTTCCTCTTAAACTTTTCCCATCTTTTTAATGACCACACTGTTCTGCTCTCAATCCCCTTCTGTCCAGTTTCCATAGAAAATTCATTTGAAAGCAGTGCACCACTCGTGATGCACTCCCTCTGTGCCAGTGGACACATATAGTTAAAATTCAGATATATAACTGTATATAATCAGGGCTGTTGTCAAGTGGAGACAACTTGTTTGGAGAGACAACCAGACCTTGTGACGAGGGCGGCCAAGTAAACCGCTTTACACTGCTGAGTATATAGGTGGAAGAGCCCATGCTTTTTTTCCAAGCTACAATAAATGATACTATAAAGTGTATAACACAATAATAGTATTTATATTTAGAATTAGTACACATAGTACAATAATTATAATTTAGTTTTTAATTATAATTAACTATTTCAATAGTTATAATTATAGTGTTTATTAATGAATGAATAAATTAGTTAATCAGTTTTAGTTTGTTTTAGAAATGTTGTTCATTTTTGTTTGTTTTTTAATATCGCCATTTAGTTTTTTTTTATTTTAATAATTGAACAAAATTTATTTACAGTTAGTTATAGTGATCAAAGCCAAGTATTTTCTAATAACTTTCCCTTTTTCTAATATATATTTCAATCATTTCTAATATTATTTCAACCAATTTTCAATGACCAAAAATTATTTTGCAATTGTTTTAGCTTTAGTTAACAATAAAAACACAGAATGTACCAGATTACGTTACACTGTATTTTACTATTACATTCAGTTCTAAATTGTACAATCAATCGTTATATCAAAAGAACAGTGTAACCACCAGGCATAGGTTTGCCCACATTTACTATAAGGTTGACATTATGTAACAATTAGCACTGTGTATGTTGTCTGTCTGTCTTTTTCTCCACATCATTTTTAGGATGGCTGGGTTGGATTTGAAGCTGTGAAGTTCAAGAAAAGGCTGTCAGCATCAGATTTCTTTAATGGATATCTACATCAGAGCATGCTGAAGAAATCTCCCTCCTCAAACACCTGTCTGTTCCAGAGTTATAAAGACACTCGTTTGCCAGGAGGACAGGACAATAATATGCTTCTGCAGAATAACACTTCACTTTGATTTATTGCAATCACGGAATGAATAATCGCATATAAACAACACTGTAACATTTTTGTAACAAACATTTTTGTCTGTTTTAAGACAATTTTGAAATTAGTAATGGGCTGTATGTTTGCAGGTAGTGACGTGAACGAATGTGAATACAATAAAATTATTTTTGAGATGTTAAATTGAATGGTTCTAATTTATTCATATTCACTGACCAGCTACACAATACATTTTTATGATAGTTTTTTATCTAAAATACTAGATAGAAGATATTTTGAAGAATGGTGGTAACCAGACAGTTGACGGTATTGACTTCCATAGTAGGAAAAATAATATGGAAGTTAATGGCTACCGTCAACTCTGGTTACCGACATTCTCCAAATCTTATTTTGTGTTCAACAAATGAAAGAAACTCATAGAGGTTTGGAACAACTTGAGGGTGAGTAAATTATGACAGAATTAAAAACATTTGCGTGAACTATCCATATTCCGTAAAGTCCCGCTGCTGCCACGTAAGTCCCGCCCTTTTATAGCCTCACACGTAAAGCACGGAGGTCTGTTAGCAAATCCTGCTCTCTCATTGGCTGAAGCGTTTGTTTATTTTTGCGTCCGAAGTAAAGTTCGGTTTCATTTACAACCTGTCAAATCCGAGGACAGCTGTGAAACCATCAACACCGCCTCGCATTTCACGTAGTAAGTCATCACTGGAAAATGCCGTTTATGTCCGCATTATTGCATGAAACCGAAGAGCTTTAATATAGCCGAAAATTAGCTTCCATTGTCATTCAATTGTCACAATAGGCTAGCTGAAGAATAGTGTCTTGTTTACGTTGAGCTAACGAATAGCCGTGTTGCTAGCTAGCGAGCCCACACAACCTGCTTATGTCTTCTCTTACATATTTATAAATGGAAACCTGTAAGAAATTATATAAAGTGTATTTTTCTCCCGTTGTTCTGGTTGGGGTTTCATTACGCTGTAATTCTATGTTATGTTATGTTTGTTCGCTCATGTAATTTTAATGGGAAATTCAGTGCAATGTTCATTGGTATAGCTAACTTACAGCTTTGAAACCGTTAAGTTAACGTTACCTGATACGAAGACTGTGCTGTCACAGTTACACATGTGTAATACTAGCTTATGTTTTCAAATATTAGCCAAACACGCTTTATGTGTAACGTTAATGTGAAATTCCATAGACTTTGACCGTCCCTTATAAACCGATCAACATACGTGTAACCTTTTCAATAATTGTATAGTTCTGTAGAAAAACAGCTTATGCAGGGTTTATGGCCAAGTTATGTTAGAATTCCTCGAGCAATTGAACAGGTGTAAATAGGGGATTTTGAGCGTCTAATACTTCTGAACGTCTAATACGTTGTGCAGCTGATGGATAATCGTGTTAGGTATGGAACCAGCTTTACCCAAAATAAAATGTATGGCAAGAATGGATTCAAACAATGGACAATCGATTAATTTGTCTTTTTTTGTTTTTATATTCCCAAGTATCTTGATGCATGCATAGCTTTTTCAAACTATTCTTGTAGTCTTGAAGTGTGTTGTTATGAGGTTTCCTGCACATTTATCGTACTTCTTATATCTAACTATTTTACAGGATTATTCAACTGTTCAGAATTGTTCAGGCTTGCTACCACCTTCATCATGTTACCTAGTTGATTCAGTAAAAAATGAATGACTTGAAAGCATTGTAGTTAAATGAGATTGGGGTGTCTCTTTAAACAATTTAAAGATTATTTTATATTATTCAGTGTAGATGTGTGTCAATCAGCTGATGTGAAGGGTTGATTTTGCAGTGTGGTTGGTTACAGTGGCACAAATGTATTTTAGATATCTGAGAACAGAGCTCTGTGGTTAGTCTGGACTGAAGAATCTGCTGACGTGAGGGCAGGAGCTGTAACATGATAATTAAGCAATATGACACAGGCATAAGTGCTGTTGTTTTGAATAGGCTATTTAAAAAATCCAGTTCATATATGAGTCAACCTGCTAATGGGTAATTAAATGTAACTAATCATGTAAGAATATATTTTATTGGAAAATTAAACAACATTTGATCAAACTTTAATTGCCTTAATCTCTGAAACAACTGGAGAGACGGTACATTAACATTAAGTGGCGTGGCATCTTATGCACAGACATGGAATGATAAAGCCATTGGCACAGATGGATGTGCCAATGACATTGTTACGGATCATGTTGCAGTATGTTGTAGCACCTCCAATAACCTATAGTGACACATATGTCGCTGTCTGCTGGAGCATTATGTAAATGGTATAACTTACGCACTTAACGGCAGGCAGAATGACATCTACTTGTTTTTGTTACCGTCAAATAAAGTGATCATGTCTCTTCGGAAGACTTGGATTAAACCGCTCTATTCATATCAGGGCTGTACAGTGCAACATACAGGTCCTTCTCCAAAAATTAGCATATTGTGATAAAGTTAATTATTTTCCATAATGTAATGATAAAAATTAAACTTTCATATATTTTAGATTCATTGTATTTTATTGAATTCAAACCTAGAACCAGTTTTAGTTGCCAAGTCACCTTTATTTATATAGCACTTTATACAATACTGACTGCATCTAAGCAGCGTTACAGTGATAACAGGAAAATAATGCATTTCGGCTGTTGTTCAGCTAAAGACAGTTCAGTGTGGATTCAGTTCCATTGTAAAGATCATCAATTATTTAGTTAGTTAATTTAATCTACAGGTCCTTCTAAAAAAATTAGCATATTGTGATAAAGTTCATTATTTTCCATAATGTAATGATAAAAATTAAACTTTCATATATTTTAGATTTATTGCACACCAACTGAAATATTTCAGGTCTTTTATTCTTTTAATACTGATGATTTTGGCATACAGCTCATGAAAACCCAAAATTCCTGTCTCAAAAAATTAGCATATTTCATCCGAGCAATAAAAGAAGTGTTTTTAATAATAAATAAAAAAAGTTAACCTTCAAATAATTATGTTCAGTTATGCACTCAATAGTCAATAGGGTTGGGTATCGTTTGGGTTTTATCCGATTCCAGTACCTACTCGGTATTTTTTAAACGGTTCCGGTGCTTAAACGGTTCTTAAATCGGTACTTAAGAAAATGAAACCGCACACACTTTATCAAAAAATAATACCCTTTAATTTACAGGGCCAAACTGGACACAATATTAACTTAAATCTTTAAACAATATAAATACAAGTAACATATGGTAATAATAAAACCAATATAAAATAAAAATTCATATTTACATAATATCAAATGAAACAATATTGTATCAAACAATGTAATAATACTGGAGATTAATAGAGATTACTAGCAGGCAGAGCTGCCAACTCTCACGCATTGACCGTGAGACTCACGCAAATGACCCTTTTCACACAGAAAAATCGCGGACAAAGAGGACACTGACAGACAAGACAGAGAAGGTTACTTTTGATATGGAACAAATCCACAGCTGTCAGATTCTGTCAATATTTTTACGAGATTCACACAATAAATAACGTTTTGGCTCTTTGAAATGTGACAGATCGCTGTAGCGCGTCAGTTCAAACGGCACGTGATACAGCAGCCTACAAATACAAATCCACTGCTTCTTAGCTACGCAGCGTTGAGTGAACCTATGAAAGAGAACATCTCTGGTTGGTGTAACATATCTCTCAATAGGGAACGAGACGCAGCCAAGCTCCTCGCGCTGCCGACCAGCTTCCTTTTTCGGCAGAGAAATCTGAGGAGCAGATGGCGCGCGCGCGACAGCATAGAGGGGTTTCACGACGCGTCATCAATCCGGAAGTCGGCCATTTTGGAGGCACAGAACGTAAATAATGCCGCTGAACTGAATGGACTCGCAAATTTGGGTGATTATTGCTGCTAAAAAATGGTCGAGTTTTGGTCTGTACCAATCAGTCACATCGGGAAAAAACATGTTGAGTGCTATAGACTGTCAAAAGTTGAAAAAAAGAGTGCAAAAACTGATGAAAGAAGGCGTTTGTGGTTGAGAGAGGTACAGCATCAGCTACTGGCGCGCTGGACTACTGGAGGCTGGTATGTAGCCTACTGCTTTTTCCCCACGCTCGTCTGCGCCGGTTTCAGAAATAATAACGTTACTTTTCTGCTCGTCCGGCAATTTGCAACAACACAGCATTGTTTCGGCAGTGACTTTCAGCATGTTTCCTATAAATGACGTTTGCATTTTAAGACGTTCAGACTGAGGCTGATGTCCTGATATGTGATTTGAATAGGATTTCAAACCACATATGGATGTAACTTGAAACGGATTTCATGTGCTTTTTTGGACTGACAATCTGAACGTATCTTATGTCGGGATAATAAATAGATGGAAGAATTGCAGTAATGTTACGTGCTAGAGAAGCTAACTCGTTCGGATCTTTACCACATTAACTTTAGTTTGTCAAAATGTTGCGCTCTCTCCTGCTTCCCAAGTCCTTCTCTATATGATTTCGCACCTACCACGTGTTTTTTCCGTGGTTTATTCGTGTAACAATGTGTTCAGTAGTACATAAACAGTGCAATCCATGCTGTTGTTTACATCCGAGTGCCTCCATAATGGCCGCGCATCCGGGTTACCGCCCAGAACGTGACGTTGGTGAAACCCCTCTATAGTATGACGACGTAAGTGCGTCGATGCGGCGCCATCAGCCAATGAATTGGCTTGATTCTATATGGGATTCAGACTTATCGGCACACCCAGAGGGCGTTCTGACACGTAATTTTACACGTGAAATGCAGCCAAACCTTGCGAGAAAGAGCGCGCATGCGAGACAGAAGAAACTGTGCTCCAAACTGTGTAGCACACGCACGGCGGAGAGAGAGAGAGCGAGAGACCTTGTGTGTGTGTGTGTGCGCGTGTGTGCCTAATGAAGTTAGGCACCGAAATCAGGCACCGAAATTTTCTTTCTTATTCGGTCTGGTTACTACCGTTTACGTCGGAACCGGTTCCCTATTGGCACCGAGTTTCGGTACCCAACCCTAATAGTCAATACTTGGTCGGGAATCCTTTTGCAGAAATGACTGCTTCAATGCGGCGTGGCATGGAGGCAATCAGCCTGTGGCACTGCTGAGGTGTTATGGAGGCCCAGGATGCTTCCATAGCGGCCTTAAGCTCATCCAGAGTGTTGGGTCTTGCGTCTCTCAACTTTCTCTTCACAATATCCCACAGATTCTCTATGGGGTTCAGGTCAGGAGAGTTGGCAGGCCAATTGAGCACAGTAATACCATGGTCAGTAAACCATTTACCAGTGGTTTTGGGACTGTGAGCAGGTGCCAGGTCGTGCTGAAAAATGAAATCTTCATCTCCATAAAGCTTTTCAGCAGATGGAAGCATGAAGTGCTCCAAAATCTCCTGATAGCTAGCTGCATTGACCCTGCCCTTGATAAAACACAGTGCACCAACACCAGCAGCTGGTACATGACACTGGACTTCAGGCATTTTGCCATTTCCTTCTCCCCAGTTTTCCTCCAGACTCTGGCACCTTGATTTCCGAATGACATGCAAAACTGAGCAACAGTCCAGTGCTGCTTCTCTGTAGCCCAGGTCAGGCGCTTCTGCCACTGTTTCCGGTTCAAAAGTGGCTTGACCTGGGGAATGCGGCACCTGTAGCCCATTTCCTGCACACGCCTGTGCACGGTGGCTCTGGATGTTTCTACTCCAGACTCAGTCCACTGCTTCCGCAGGTCCCCCAAGGTCTGGAATCGGTCCTTCTCCACAATCTTCCTCAGGGTCCGGTCACCTCTTCTCGTTGTGCAGCGTTTTTTGCCACACTTTTTCCTTCCCACAGACTTCCCACTGAGGTGCCTTGATACAGCACTCTGGGAACAGCCTATTTGTTCAGAAATTTCTTTCTGTCTTACCCTCTTGCTTGAGGGTGTCAATGATGGCCTTCTGGACAGCAGTCAGGTCGGCAGTCTTACCCATGATTGCGGTTTTGAGTAATGAAACAGGCTGGGAGTTTTTAAAAGCCTCAGGAATCTTTTGCAGGTGTTTAGAGTTAATTAGTTGATTCAGATGATTAGGTTAATAGCTCGTTTAGAGACCCTTTTCATGATATGCTAATTTTTTGAGACAGGAATTTTGGGTTTTCATGAGCTGTATGCCAAAATCATCAGTATTAAAACAATAAAAGACCTGAAATATTTCCGTTGGTGTGCAATGAATCTAAAATATATGAAAGTTTAATTTTTATCATTACATTATGGAAAATAATGAACTTTATCACAATATGCTAATTTTTTGAGAAGGACCTGTATGTCGCATATGCTACTAAACAATTGTTTTAGGCGATGAATAAATTTACCACAGTAGCACTCCTGTGATACAGTTGTGTAAGACAGAGCTGCTTGTTTGTGTGAAGTGAGAGTTTGTTGTGTGCTTGTTTGTGTATGAGGTTTATCTAGGGCTGCACGATTAACCGAAATTAAACCGTAAGGCTGTTAATTGTTTAAATAAATAAATGTATGCATGCACAGCGTGTTTCATGGTGAAGTGCAGCACTGGGATCAGAGCGGATCGATTGGTTCGCTTCACAGTAAAAACCTCACAGCTCTCACAGAAATGGAGCAGCAGAGTCACTTAATGTACATTTGAAAAAGCAACAGGCACCAAATAGTTTTCCAGACTTGTAGTGAGAAGCATTTACAAACCTAATGTCCAAGTTACAAAAGAGAATATTTAGTAGGGTTTGAAATAACCTTCTTTTTGTGATTTGACGTGGCTTCACATCACAGAATGTGGCAGAATGATATTATTATACAGTGATAAAGGCTGTGTCAATTAGCATTGCATTATGCTTTATTCTTATGAAAATACCCAAAATGTCTAGAACACAGATAAACCATTTGTTGTCGCAATTTTATGTTTATTGTCTTCATGTATCATCTGTCAAAACGTCTCTATCTGTGTTTTATTCAGCTGCTGCAGCAGCAATAGATGGATGCCCATGCTTTGTCCATAAAAGGGATTTCCTGGAATGTCATAATAAGTTTTATGACTTTATGGTCTGTGGCCTGTTGCATAAACTGGTTAGACTAGTCATAAGTTATTCATCTAATTTGTTTCTTCGAAACCCAGGTCATAACTTTTTCAAGTCATTTACAAAAAAAAAGTAGATTGGAAAAGTTAGACTTATTGGCCCTAATTAACTGCTTGTTGGTCAGACTAGTTCTTAAGACAGTCTTAAGTTAGTGGCTATGTTTATTTATGCAACTGGTCCTGGGTTGGTTTCACAGACAGGGTTTAGATTGAGTCAGGAGGAGGATTAGGTCTTAGTTCAATTGAAGTAGCTTTTTTAAACGTGCCTTCGAAAAAAAACATTAATGGTGTGCATCTTGAGACAAAACAATGGCACTGACATATTTTAAGATACGTCATTGCAAGTTGCTTTCAGTTCAGACAGCTCAAACCTGCATTTTAGTCTGGGACTGGCTTAAGCCTTTTCTGTGAAACAAGGCATATGAGTCTCATATGTGGACTTTCTGTGTGAGCGTGCCCTCCAGCTACGAGTATGAATGAAACAGGCATTACATTACTGTGTACTACTGACTAATTATCACAACACCCTATTTTGGGTAAAATAGGGTGAAATATTTCTGTGAAATATAATGATGATAATCATTATTATTATTATTATATTTATTCTTAAATACTCTGTTTTGTATTTTGTAGTATTTTATTGTATTTATTTTTTTATTTTTTTTACTTGTGGTTGTTTTCAGAGATGGTAATAGACGAAACTTTTATACTTGTTCTACAATTGTGCAACAAAAAAAAATGATATCCGAATTTTCATTTTCAGTTGACCTATCCCTGTAATTGAATTGAACAAGGACTAGGCCTACATTTAGTGACCACCATACAATCGACTTTGAGCTAATACAAACATCAGCCCTCTCACAGAGATGTTATGTGTGCACCAAATGACTGGATCACTTATTGATCAAGCCTGTTTGTTTGTTTATTTTTGTAGGAAAGAAGATGCTGTATTTCATAAGCATGGAGACACATGGAGAAAGATCCCTTCTCAAAGATCTCTGAAAAACATCAACATTAGGAAGAATGAATTTGTGTGATCAGTCCATCACTTCACATCCTTCCCTATAACTATTTACGTGCACTTTGGCAGGCCTCATTCAGCCTCCCCTCCACCTCACTAACTCACACTCACACACTCTGCCGGTGACCCCAACACTGCTCCTGCAGGCTGGGTACGGAGCTGGTCTGGCCGCGTGCCCCTCCAGCTCTGCGTGTTGGCGTGAGATGGCGCGGCAGGAAGCAGAGGGTCGCTGCCGCTGTGGACTGTAATGTCAGAGCCCAGCAGCCCCGGCGAGAGCCAGCGCGGCGCTCCCAGATTCTTCGTGGGCTGCGCGGAGGATGAGAGCGAGGGCCTGGACGACTACGCCAGCATGAGGACAGACATGGAGCTGTACGAAGACGACCTGGAGGATGATTCGGTATGGATGGTTTGCAACTGAGTGTCTGGTCTAATGGAGAGATTTTGCCTTCATGTACCTGGGGATTTAATAGTTTGAGAACAGAAGCATATTTTCTATGTAACATTCAACACAACACTGTGACTTCTTTAAAGACTCCTAGCCAAAGAAGCATGAATTATGGTAGCAACACATCAGACATCAAATATTTGCTCTCTGGTTCCCCATTACCAACTGAAATACAATGTAGACTAGAGTTTACTGAAAGTATCCCTTTTATAAGATGTTACCACATGAACATGAGGACATTTTTCAGATTTTTGCCCCAAAACTTGGCTCATCTTCTTGTGCGTAGAACTATTTTGCGTCTTTTTTTTCTCTCAGAGATTTCTTATTTTGTACCATCTCAGTTACCTGTTTTAGTGGGAGTGGAAGCATGCTTCCATGTACACCTTATTTTGCAACGCGAAAGTTAGCTATTCTCTTCGAATATGGAAGTATGGGGTTGGTTGGATTTTTTTGTTTAAGTTTTTAAAGAAGTCTCTTATACTCACCAAGGCTGCATTTGTCAAAAATACAGTAAAAACTGTAATATTTTAAAATATTATTACAATTTAAAATAACTGTTTTCTATTTTAATATATTTTGTAATATAAAATGTAATTTATTTCTGTGATGGTAAAGCTGAATTTTCAGCATCATTACTCCAGTCTTCAGTGTCACACGATCCTTCAAAAATCATTCTAATATGCTGATTGGCTGCTTAAAGTCCCTGTAAAGTCAAAATTAAGTATGTGTTTTGAGTTTGTCACACCACAGAAAAATGTGTTATTAGTCACCCAGCCAAATTTGAATGATAAAAAAAGCCAGCAAGTACATAAAATAAGCTATCAAAATCTTGAAAAAATGAGCAGTATTCTCTGCTCTCAAACGCTGGGGGCGTGTCCACTGGCTGCGCTGAAACCACGCCCACTCGCGGGAAAGCTGCCGTCGCCACACACTCAACTCTACAGCCGGAATAGATGCTCGCACGGTGGGCACGCACTGCCGATGATGGCACCAGTTGTCGGCGCGACAGGAGGATGAAGGTCGAGCCGGGAGTCGGTTCGGCCCCATTCACCAGTAACAGCGGATTATCAGTGAATCCCAGTTGTCTCCGACGAAAGTTTATAAAACTATCCCGTGTAAAATGATCACTTACAGAGGCGGGTATTGGCGGTGATCCTCAGCTCTCCATCAAGGTGGCTCTTCACAAAATTAATCCACTTCTTCTTGATGTGATCGTTTTTCGGAAATTTAAATAAGGACACCGATCTGTTTTGTACGTGATCCGGTGATCGCATCCAGGTAGTACGCATTTCCGTGACGAAGGCATAGCTAGCTAGCAATCTGTATGCTGTGTAACTAATAATACTACTGACAGTAACTCGCGATTGAGCGGCAAACTGATGTGAATGTGCTCTATAATATTGTTAGGAGCGGCCAGCCTCAGCGGCTCCAGTGCGTCATCAAGTAGGGGCGTGTCCAGGAGCTCAAGGTCTCCAGTGCGTCATCGAGCCCCGTTTTAGCCCCGCCCAGAAAATCCGGAAAATAGCAATGGTGAAAAACTGTTTAACGGTCTAACTCCACAATTCAGTACTTCACAGTTCACAGTCTTTGTAATATGTTTTAGCAATACATTTGTAACATTTATAATGTGTTTAGATTTTTTTTTTTGAAATTGCCTTTACAGGGACTTTAAGTAAAATTTCTTATTATTCAATGGTGAACTTGGTGGAAACTGGGGTATTTTTTTGGAATAGATATTAAGTTAATGCATACTTTGGTCAAGTTAATGTATCCTTGCTAAATAATGAATTCATTTCTTTTAAGAAAAACAACAACTCCTTACTGGTTTTACTGTTTAAAAAGAACTGCTTCCTTTTACCACATTAATTATATTGCTTGGAAGCCTAACATTTTACATTTGAGTATTTTACATTTTTGTATATTTCAGAGCTTTTTTTTGTTTTTCGGTATGTTTCAAGTAATTCCTGTAATTATTTAAGAACTTTTGAAAACCACTTTGTTTTTTTTTCTAATGTCAGTACATACAAGTAAGTGTGTTTAGGTAGATGTATATCTCATTTAAATCCTTATTTTTTTAGCCTCCAGAGCGTCAGATCGTGGTGGGGATTTGCTGTATGATGAAGAAATCTAAGTCCAAACCCATGACTCAGATCTTGGAACGTCTTTGCAAGTTTGAGTACATCACAGTGGTCATCTTTCCAGAGGACGTCATACTCAATGAGCCGGTGGAAAAGTGGCCACTCTGTGACTGCCTGATCTCATTTCACTCTAAAGGTATGTTTTGTGTCTGTGCCCTTTTGAGCTGGTTGTAGATAAGGTTTCTCCACTGAAGTATTAACCACTCAATGAAGCAACTTTTTTGAAGGGGTCTCCTGTTCAGTTACCTAACATTATTGCATCATTAGCTAATCTAATGAGACAAAAAATGTGCGGTCACATTAGTGAATTTTTGAGTACAAAAAGCTCTGTTGTCATTACAAAAAATGTGCGATCACATTAGCGAATTTTTGCATACAAAAAGGTCCGTTGTCAATAGTGTAGTAATGTGCAGTTTGAAGCACAGGTCACAAAGTCACTTTCAAACCAAGCAGCTTTCTGTTGGTTAATGCAGCGAATTTGGGTGACCAACTTGAACCTGTTGCTTAAGATCTGCGTAACGAAATCTTCCGCCCTCATACGAAATTCCAGATTGCATTTTTGATTCCTATTAAATTGACTGGAATCCGCCCACAAAAATTAGCAAAACATCAGTAATTGTGACCATCTTAAGTCTTGTTCTTTGGTATATAAATATACCTGATAAACAGTCTACACATTTGTTTACCATTGTGTTGTGTCTTTGACAAGTTATTTTTATATTAGCATGCCCGTAATACCAACAGTAATATTTTCTCTTGAATTAGGCTTCCCCCTGGATAAGGCAGTGAGTTACGCAAAGCTCCGTAACCCGCTGCTCATCAATGATCTTAATATGCAGTATTACATACAGGATAGGTATAACCATATTTTTCATTAACCACAGTTTTGCATATCTCATATTTGCATACATTTCAGCATCCTGTATGATACCTGATTAAGGCTTTTTCTGTCCTTTGTTAATCATATTTTAGGAGGGAGGTGTATCGTATCCTGCAGGAGGAGGGGATAGATCTGCCACGCTATGCCGTTTTAAACCGCGACCCTGACAAACCTGATGGTCGGTCAAAGCTTTTTTTCCCAAAAAAATACAAACAGAATTTGACGGAGTTTTTTGAGTATCTAAAGTTTTTTTTCCTGATATCTTTTGTTGTTTGCTTGCTTATTTCTTCATCATCCAACAAGTGAAGTAGAAATATTAGCAAAGTGTCCTGCTTTGACTCTGCACTGATTTATTTTAGTCTCTGAGTAAATATAGCCCCTCATGTATAGCAATTTTAAGTGTTTCACAGGCCAAGGATACAAATATTGCTCTGAAGTCCATGATGTGACCATCTGGCATCCACTGAGCCGTTATGTTCTTGGCAGCTTTGACAGTTCCCTGAGGATCTGAATAAATGTATTCTGCTCTAAAACAAATGACAATCAAAGTGCTATATTTACCCAGCTATAAATCCCCATTACAGTCCTGTCTCAGATGATGACTGTGTTATCGGTCTATCTGCTCAGATATTGTTTCTATTCACTGGAACTCTGTTTTTTGACTGGCCTTTTCTTTTCTGTTTTGACACAGAGTGTAACCTGGTTGAGGGAGAAGACCAAGTTGAAGTTAACGGCGAAGTCTTTCTAAAACCATTCGTAGAGAAGCCTGTTTCTGCCGAGGACCATAATGTGTACATCTACTACCCAACTTCAGCTGGGGGAGGCAGCCAACGCCTCTTCAGGAAGGTCTTTTTGCAGTGGCTGCCTATTATCTATTCCATTGAGCTTGAGCTGCATCCGCTCAGTCATACAAGCACAGCAAACGGAGAAGAGCATGCTGACATTAGCTGACATTTTAGCCTTCCCCATCAGCTGTGTTAAAAAAATACATAATTGCAGTTTATCCTACATTCAGTGTTGGGGAGCAACTAGTAACACTACTCAGTTTGTTTTAGCAGCTCATTCATTCATTCATTTAAAATATTTACCAACCAGAGTTATAGCGTGCTGCAGGAAAGTCCTAAAACCTGGAAACGAGTCAGCATTTTTTAACTTCCAGTTCCATTGTCCTGAAGTCAATGGGTTTTTGGTTAAATGTCTGAATTAAGATTTGTGGTTAACACAAGCTTGGATATTTTCACGTTTTATTTTACAGCATAATATATCAGTATAAAATATATCACCTTTTGTGATTTTGTTTTTGAGCTTTTACGTATCTTGAAAAAGGCAGTTGCTAACAAGTGGCTAAATGGAACTACACAGGTTGTCTGGGACATTAAATATTATCATGCTGAACAGGGAAACTCATCTACTGATTAGTCAGCTTTTACAGCCTCGTTGTGGTTATATTTGCGATCTTGCTAAATATTCTACTATAACTACTATAGCTCAAACTTTTCAACTTGTAGATTTTAAATAAATGAATAGTGATGGCTCTGAAGTTGTGTGACTGTGGTGTTATATAATTATAGCCTACCTGTAGCTTTTTACTTTTGGCAATTATATTTAGGTGTCAAAATTCATAAAAGTTATTTGTGAATATTATCTTGATTAACAAAACATGTAAGAATCATAAACTTTTGTTGGTAACGGAGCTTATTTTCTGTACTGATACTAAAGCCAATGGAACAACCCTTTTGGCTTTAGAGAACTGCCTACAGTGATATGAACTATAGTTTAATAGAAAAACTGTGTACAAAACCGTTAATATGTTGCACGGTGGCAAATCGTAACATTTGAGTGTGAATGTGTTTCAGATTGGGAGCAGAAGTAGTGTTTACTCTCCAGAGAGCAGTGTGAGGAAAACTGGCTCCTATATATATGAAGAGTTCATGCCAACCGATGGAACAGATGTGAAGGTACTAAATAATTTACCATCTTTTCTACTCAGTGATTGCATTACCCTGTTGCTCTTGATCTATATAGAGCAAAGTTCTGCTTTCTTAAGTGTTTGTTTCATTTGTAAATTTTTAGAGAAGCAGCAACATTCTTTTGTGCGTGTTTTTGTTACAGGTGTACACAGTAGGGCCAGATTACGCTCATGCAGAAGCTCGTAAGTCCCCTGCACTTGACGGGAAAGTTGAGCGAGACAGTGAAGGCAAAGAAATCCGCTACCCAGTCATGCTCACTGCCATGGAGAAGCTTGTGGCCCGTAAAGTGTGTTTGGCATTCAAGGTCAGCTGCTCGTTTCTTGGTTTCAAGAATGAATTTATGAATGTACAAAGAATTTGCAGACTGAAAATGTTTCAAGGGTTTAACCTGTTCATGCTGATTTTGTTCTCAAATACTTTTTACACTGTAGCAAACAGTGTGTGGATTCGACCTCCTCCGAGCCAACGGCCACTCGTATGTGTGTGATGTCAACGGATTTAGCTTTGTGAAGAATTCCATGAAATACTATGACGACTGTGCTAAGATCCTGGGGTAAAGCCTAATGATCATCAGATAAAGATTCAAAATCTTTGTATTTCAAACATATTAACATATAGTTGCAAAATTGCACAGTAGGATGAGTTTGGCTTGTTCTTTCTTTTTTTTTTAGAAATATTGTGATGAGGGAGCTGGCTCCTCAGTTCCATATCCCGTGGTCCATACCTACAGAGGCAGAGGACATTCCTATTGTACCCACCACATCAGGCACCATGTACGTATCCCATGGTACACTTACATCTTGCCATTTGACTTGATAGTAAAATTCATCTTTCCACTTGAATTTTTTCTATTGTCTAATGCAACAACATTCATATATTTTTAAGGTGTCCACTCTTAAGTGACCTATTATGATATTGCATCAGAATTACTTTTTTTTTTTTTTTTTTTTGCTAGGATGGAGCTGCGCTGCGTAATAGCTGTGATCCGTCATGGAGATCGTACACCAAAGCAGAAGATGAAGATGGAAGTGCGGAATCCCATGTGTGTTCTTGCCACCTGCTTATTAGACTTAATCACTTAAAGCATTACTGATATCCAAATAGCAAAAATATGGTGCTTTTTCTTTTCTTCTAGGTTTTTTGAACTTTTTGAACAATATGGCGGATATAAAACGGGCAAGCTGAAGCTAAAGAAACCCAAACAACTCCAGGTAACAATTTTTATTTATTCATAAAAAAAAAATAAAAAAAAAACATTTATTAAACATGTTCCAACTTTAAAACAGAAAGCACACAAAAAAATTCAATCACAATAAATAAAAAAAACAGTCTGCTGAAGTTATAATGAACACATTTATACTAGGCCACTGAAAGAGTAAAAAATAAATAAATAAGATAAAAAGTAAAAACTTGTATTGTACTGCAGTTATGTACTTACTTGGGGCACATGAACGGGAAAACTCTTCTGCAGAATAGTTGACACTAAAACTGGACTGGCTGACCATTAACTAGACAAGTTAAACATTCCAGCGGAATTAATTCCCAGGTAACAAATCTTTAACACACTTTTAATACTATTTGAATAAAGGGTGAATGTCAATTTTCCTTTGCCTCACTTTTGGCCAGTTCATTGACTTTCCAACTGATCTTCAAATCTTGCAGCAAAATCAAGCCACTTTTATGAGGATTGCAAGCTTCCCTGAGTTGTTGGATCCATTGATGGAACCCATGTTTGCATCATTGCTCCAATTGTAAATTGAGGAGACAATTGAAAAAGATTCCACAGCATCAATACTAATTTGTGATAATTTTGCACAATGCAAAGCATAAAAAAATGTATATTAAAGTTTCAGTGTCTTAATTAAATGATTTTATTATAATTACATTAAATGATTGGTGTCATGCTGCAGTGACCTCACCCTTGCAGGCTCACTATTGGCTTATTCAGTGGTTAAGGGCATTTTGGGTCAGTTTTCAGTCTTAGACTTCACTGAAAGTTGCTTTTAGCTTCTTTATAAAAGTGTCCTACTCTTAGAGAAGTCCTACTTTTTACTAAGAATTTTTTGACACTTAAGTCAAAGCTTAAGACTATTCTTAAGAGCATTTCTTAGAAGTTCTATACATACTGGCCCAGGTCTACAATCAAACTTTTAAAATTAGGCTTCCTCATATATTGAGGTTTTCCAAGACTCTGGGAATCCTGGTGCTTCAAAGGGAAAAAAAAGGTTGTTGAGGGGGTAAATTAAAATAAGAAACACCTTGATTTTGGTTAATTTTTTTAAACTTATTTCAATACCTGTTGTGTCTTATTTTACATAATTTTAAGTCATCTTGAGGCCCCCTTAGAAGTTTGCTGAGCCCTCATAGTGGGCCCCTGGCCCGCTGTTTGAGAACCACTCATTTAAACCTTGGATTTATTGTTAAAACCTGCTGTGCTACTCCATATCTGTGTTTCCACAGGAAGTTCTGGACATTACCAGGACACTCTTGGCAGATATAGGACAGCATACTGACTGTGAAGTTGAGGAGAAGAAGTCCAAGCTTGAACAACTGAAGACCGTTCTAGAAATGTACGTTAATGTAAGATGTTAACTGGGCCATGCTAACTGGCACACTTCCAGTCTTCCTTGGTGGCCTCCTTTTAAGTCTTTTGACACGACATATTTTCCAGACACAAGCTCGGGTTTTATATAAAACAATACATTAATTTCCATCATATTCTTAACAGATGCTTTCTTTCAGAAAAATAAAATAACGTTTCTAGTGTATCTGAGGAGATAGATGTAACGTGTCTTAAAGGAGATTCAGGTGAAGGATGTTGTAAATGAACACTATGTTCGGTGATACTCCCAACATGCAGTATTTTTAGAATCTCAGTATTAAGTTTTGTCCTATGACACAATGAAATCGCAGTGTCCCCTTTCACAACTCTTGACAAGCATCACTCATTCAGCAATGGCATAGATGCACTGGATGGATTTCTGGCAGGTGCTTCTGGCTATGTTAATATAGATGTCAGTCAAGAACAGGGAAGTGGAAAGTAAACTTCTTTGGGGTCTGTAGACACCCTAATTACACTTTTGTCCCTGTTCTGTTCTATTCTGTTCTATTTTTCAGGTATGGCCATTTCTCTGGAATCAATAGGAAAGTGCAGCTAACCTACCTTCCTCATGGACAACCCAAAACATCCAGTGAGGAAGAAGGTACGAGGATTGTTGATCAAGAAACTCAGTCGTGTTTGGCTTTAATCATGTCATGCATTATGGTGCTGCTGTTTGTGTTGTGTGCAGATACCCGTAAGGAGGGCGCCTCTATACTGCTGGTGCTGAAGTGGGGGGGGGAGCTGACTCCAGCGGGCAGAGTTCAGGCTGAAGAACTCGGCAGGGCTTTCCGCTGCATGTATCCTGGAGGTCAAGGTGAAAAAAAAACCCTCCTGTTTGTCTGTCACTAAGGGGCCCTATTTTAACAATCTAAGCCAGGGGTCGGCAACCTATGGCAGGCATGCCAACACTGGCACGCTGAGGGTTAATCGCTGGCACTTGAGCAAAAGTGAGAGAGATGTATGTATTTAATTCAGATAAAGTACCTCGTACCTGCATACAGATCTGCATTTTGAGGTAATCATTCCTCATAGTAACACAGCTTGTTATATTAAGGTAGGAGTTATACATACTATTAAAGTGTGAGAATTAAACTGCACAAGTCAATAAAAGCGTGCAGCGCGACCACTGCGCATCACGTGCATACAAGTTACTAACTGACAACTTTGCAGCTTGTTCCGTTGTACATAGTCAATGCTATAAATTCAGTATAGATATTCAGTATAGAGTCCTTATTAAATATTCCACACACATCGAAATGAATGTGATGCATTGTGGTAACATCGTTCATGTGTACCTGGTCACTTCATGTGTTTTTTCTGATTAGATAGCTCTCCCATTAATGAAAAGACCGAAAGAGAGGACATTTTTTTTCGCATTCCAGATGAAACTGGACACACTGGACAGCATCGCTGCAGAGAAGTAGCTGAGCATCTTTTCAGCAAGCCGACGCGCAAACTGCCACAAATGAAACAAAGTTTAAATTACAAAAATGTTTACTTTAGACCAGGTTTCAGTTGGTCAGTGGCGCAGTCTATTTCAGTTGCCTCAAAATAGCAACGCGCCAACAATGCGCCTGACCCACACGCCCATGGGCGCACAAATGGGTGCACAAATGGGCGCAAATGTATTTGCTATTTGAACAACGTGGCGCAGGACGTGAAAATAACTGCCTCGGGCTGAAACTAGCAAAAGACACTTGTGTCGCACCTGGCGCTGCGTTGGTGTGTTTGATTAGGGTTGGAGCAAAACTGTTGAGCGAGGGCCAGAGTTGAGAACCCCTTTAGATGTTATTTTTCTAGAGTCCACAAATCTCATGCTTTCAACACCTTATTACACCTTTCTAATCCTACATTACACCTAAATCTAACTGATTAACATTCATATTAATGACGGTGACATTTTAATAATGTTCATTATTCAGTCATCTACAAACATTATATAATGCTTAATAAATCAGTACTTGGTGCATTTTCAAATATGAATATATTAATCATAGTTAAATTACTGACTAACAGTTGAGTAATGACTAATTAAACAAAAATGTAATGCACATAGAGTGCTGCAAAGTCCTAAAACCCGGAAATGAGCATTTATGAACTTTAGGAACTTTATGAACTTTCATTGATCAGAAGTCAATGGACTTTTTTCAATGGGTTTTTGGTTAAATGCCTGTGGTTAACACAAGCTCGGGATATTTTTCACGTTTTATTCTATGACAAAATACTACATCAGTTATACCCCACTCATGAATTCTTTTAGCTTTTACGTGCCTTGAAAAAGGCATTTGGTGACGTTGATGTCATGCAACTGTGGTGTAGTTCTTTATAGCTTAACTTCAGCTGCTGCAGATTGTATGTATGCTTCTATATTCATAAACGTGTTCATTTGTGAAGATTATCTTGATTAACAAAATGTGTAAGAATTATAAACTTTTGTCACAGAGCTTATTTTCTGCAATAATCCAAAAGCTAATGGATTTTGAGGAAACCAGAGTGATGGAAACTTCTGGGTTGGCTTGCAAAAATACACCATCCCTGGAGCACTCTATTAACCAAAGATCTGTGAAGCATTTATTATAAGATCCTTGAAGTTAATACAATGTAAGGTATTATTAAGTGTTACCCAATTTTGGGATAAAACCCAGTGCCTATTCAGCAGTCTTCGTATTATATGCTTCCCATTTTCTTGTTTGTTCTTAGATATCATTTCTGCTTTTTTTTTTCTGTGCAGCGGTATTTTTTTAATGTCATTCACACACCATAGAAGTGTCACAAAACCATATTGTGCGCTGTAAGTCTTCTGATACTTTGGTCTGAGGAACAGACTTACATTTTAATCATTGTTCACTGATAATCTTTCATTCTTCCTTATCTTGCAAATTAGATTTGCGTTTACGTTTTGCTTACTGATTGGTTGTGTGATATGGAACAACCAAAGGTGTTTACTTTCAGTGACATCAAACTTGGATCAATGTGTCTGAGGTTGCCAAATTTGAGTGAATGAGATTTTAGAGCAAAATAACCTTTTGGACATGTTAACTTTGACATGTTAACCTTCAGACCTATAATAGTAGTGTTTAACCCTGTTCATAGAGACCCACTATCCTGCAGAATTTCATTCCAGCCTGCTCCAACACCCATGCCTCTAATTGTCAGTTAAGACCTTGATTATGGTTGGAGCTAAACCCCGGAAAGACAGTGGGTTTTCAGGAACAGGGTTGATTACACTTGTTCTATATGGCTATTTAGTCTCACCAAGTTTTTCTCTGTAAATGTTATGTTCTTGACTACTTATAGGGGATTATGCTGGCTTTCCAGGCTGTGGCCTGCTCAGGTTACACAGCACCTACCGACATGACCTCAAGATCTATGCCTCGGATGAGGGCAGGGTGCAAATGACTGCTGCTGCCTTTGCAAAGGTCCTCAGCCACAACAAATACAGGTCTTCTAAGGTTTAGGGATATAAAGTTATCAGAGGATGTTAAGCTGGTGTTGGTTGTCTGCCTCTCAGGGTCTCTTGGCACTGGAAGGGGAACTGACACCCATCCTGGTCCAGATGGTAAAGAGTGCAAATATGAATGGCCTGCTGGATAACGATATCGACTCCCTCAGCGGCTGTCAGCAGAGGGTTAAGGCCAGACTTCATGAGATCATGCAGAAAGATCAAATCTTCACAGAAGAAGACTTTGACAGGGTAAATCAGAGCGTCAGACATCTTTTGAACTATGGGGTGTATTTCAGTCCCTCCACTGACTTGAAATGAAAAGCACATCTGTGTCCACTTCATCTCTTTTGTTTCTCCAGCTGGCTCCAACATGCAGCAGCTCTCTGGTGAACTCTATGAAGGCTGTGGAGAATCCAGTGAGTATGTGTGATCAAGTCTACACCCTTGTCCAGAGCCTCACCTCACAGATCCGCAAAAGACTTGAAGACCCCAAATCAGCAGGTGATTGCTCTGTGCTCACTTAAAAAAAGACAGAAAAGAAAAGCGCACTTTAAAAGGCTATACAGATAAACTTGATACAACCTGAGTAAATGAGTTTGAGTTGCCTCTCTCAGATTTACAGCTGTACCACAGCGAGACACTGGAGATGATGCTGCAGCGCTGGTCTAAGTTGGAAAGGGACTTCCGCATGAAGAGCGGCCGCTACGACATCAGCAAGATTCCTGACATTTATGACTGTGTTAAGTATGACGTGCAGCACAACAGCTCCCTGGGCCTGGAGGACACAGGGGAACTCTTCAAGCTCTCTCGAGCTCTAGCCGACATTGTCATACCTCAGGTGTGTGAGGAAATTCTGAAACGTGAACCTGTATGTTTTGCTCTTAGCTAAAGTTTATTTTTCCTTCAGTTGCTTATGTGAATAGGGCTTGTCAGAATACAAGTATTTCACTAGAAATTTTCACTAGCATTTTTTCGTTAAAGTTTTAGTTTAAATAAGTCTATATAGGTTTTATTTAGCTTTAGTTTTAGTTATTTTAGTTCTTTAACTTAAACTAAATGTAAATAAGAAATGTTGCCTTAAAACTAAGTTAGTTCTGAAGGTAAAAGTGGGTCCAACTCCTGAAATACATTTTTAAAAAAATATTTTATTGTATTTCAGTTTTAATATATATATATTTTTTTATTTCAAGAATTTAAAATGTTTTTATTTTTGCTATTTTTGCGACTTGCTACAAAATAGTGATACTCTTGGGTACTGTGATCTAGTCTTCTAGGTAATAAAAGAGCGTTTATTTTTAGTTATACCGTGGTCTCTCTGAATACTCGAATTTGATTGGCTGGAAGGTGTGCAAAAAACTTTTAATGCACAGGTATTTCCAAGTCAGTTTAATCACTATTCTACATTAATGCGCTGTTTTCATTGAAGAGCAAACACACAAACGCCACTCACACACATTCAGGAGTACAGAAACTTATCAACACTGCCCTGTGACTTTTAGAAATAAAATAGCTTCGCTACTGAATTGCTACATTATATTTCTCAGCAAAGAGGGGGTTACATCGCTATTCTGAAGTAATTAAACTCACAGCTTCGTTGTTAATAGAGAGAGACACTGAACAGACGCAGGTACAAATCTCTCTCTCTCTCTCTCTCTCTCTCTCTCTCTCTCTCTCTCTCTCTCTCTCTCTCTCTCTCTCTCTCTCTCTCTCTCTCTCTCTCTCTCTCTCTCTCTCTCTCTCTCTCTCTCTCTCTCTCGATAATTCAAGTAAATGCTATAATTAATTCATTCAAAATCAAATAAATGTAATCTTACGCACTACTTTATCTCTGTGTCTGATTCAAAGCGGCTGAATGCTAGATAATGAACCGTAACTGCCGAAAAGAATCATCAATTTTATCCTTTTGGTCAAATATTGTGCTGTAATCATCAATAACAGCTTTAAATTGTCAATGCTGACAAATGACCATATGGTATAAGCGGGATAATCCATGGCTAGCTGTGCATTAAGCGATTTTAATGCACTTTGTAGAGGCGTCGGGCGGTTATTTGCCTCCACGTCATCCATTAAAATCGGATGGATGACGTGGACTTGTTTTTTCATTTTTTTCCCAAAACGCCTCTACCCAGTATTCCACACAAAGCCAGGATTTGCTATTGTACATCTGATTGTAAACTTCTTTTTTTTTTTTTAGGAGTATGGCATTAATAACGTGGAAAAGCTGGATATTGCATATGCCTACTGTCTGCCTTTAGTAAAGAAAATTCTACTGGACCTTCAGAGAACACATGAGGACGAGTCTGTAAACAAGCTGCATCCTCTGTGAGTGCCCTGTTTTTTACTCTCATCTCTTTTTCTTTTATTTGGTCTCTCCCATTGACCATAAGAGATTTGTCCATATCTTTGTATCCCAGATACTCGCGTGGAGTGCTGTCACCAGGCAGGCATGTCCGAACTCGGCTGTATTTCACGAGTGAGAGTCACGTCCACTCCCTGCTTAGCATCTTCCGTTATGGCGGCCTATTGGATGTAAGTATTATAGTACATTATAAAGAGAAATGACGAGGAAAATAGAGAATCGAAGTGACGCACACATAAGCTGTCCTGTCTACTGTCCTTCATGACTATGCTTAACACATGTAAAAAGTGCACTGGTAACACTTTACAATAAGGTTCATTAGTTAACTACCTTAGTTAACATGAACTAATAATGAACAATACTTCTTACAGCATTTATTAATCTCAGTTCATGTTAATTTCAACATTTACTAAGACGTTATACAATCAAAGGTTGTATTTGTTAACACTAGTTAATGCACTGTGAACTAACATGAACAAACAATGAACAGCTGTATTTTTATTAACTAACATTACCAAAGATTAATAAATACTGTAACAAATGTATTTCTCATTGTTAGTTCATGTTAGTTAATAAATTAACTAATGTTAACTAATGAACCTTATTGTAAACATCGAGTTTATACTCAATGGATACTTCGTTCGGACTATAAAGGTTAGAATGAAACGGTCTCTTCTTCACTCAAATTAAAAAATCTAATCAAAATAATCTAATCTAATCAAAATAAAAAACAAATGCTCATGCTACATGTGTGTAGCATCTTTGTTTGTAGCATGATAAAATGCAGTGATTGCCTCTAATTCCAAATGGCTACAGATATTTTAAAGGCCAGAGCTGGACGATGACACCACTGTTTTTTAATAGAACTGCGCTATATAAATAAAGGTGACTTTACCATAAATGATTGTTAGTACATTTAGCAGGATACTTTAACCATGTTTCAAAGACAATAGAAGTATTTATGAAATTACCTATAAAGATTTTGTGAAGTCCTAAAGTTCTTAGTGTGTCAAAAAAATGCATTTAAGCTAAATTTAAACTATTATCCATTTTCACTTAATTGCAGTCAACATCTACTTAAGCATCTGAAAACATTACATTCAGTTTGCACTTAAATATATTTTAAAGTATATTATTTCCGTAGTAAGTACTCTTGAAAAACAAAAATTAAGTATGCTACTTATTTCACAAGGGTAAAGTTGTACAAAAGCTACAGCAAAAGTACAAATGCAGAACAATAAGAGAGAACAGCAACACTTTTTTTGGAGCAAGAACCTTTGATTGTGGTTTCGGTTAACTGTTAAAGGATACATATGATGTTTCAGGAGGAGAAGGACCAGCAGTGGAAGAGAGCCATGGATTATCTAAGTGCAGTGTCTGAGCTCAACTACATGACCCAGATCGTCATTATGCTCTACGAAGACAACAACAAGGTACATCCTGCTCTCACTGTCTGTTCTACTCAACTGAGGTACAGAATAAACATAAGTGAACTGTCATAACTGAGCTGGCCAATGTTTTGTTTGAGTGGGGACTGTGTAGTCTCAAAAGAGTTCTTCAAAGAAATGTGACAGTTGTGATGTTGTGTTAACTCAGGACCCATCCTCTGAAGAGCGCTTCCATGTGGAACTGCATTTCAGCCCTGGGGTCAAAGTATCTGAGGAGGAGAGCGCTCCGATGGGATTTGGTTTCCGTCCAGCCTCTGCTGAAGTATACAGAATTTCATCATGTATTGGATTAGGTTGTTGTTCAGCTAATCATAGCTAGTTTTGTTTTTTGAATTTTCCATATCTGTGTTTGTGTGTGTTGACATAGAATGACCAAAAGCAAACAGACCCTGGTAGTTTGGAAAATCTTGCCCGAGATGAGCCCGACCGTGCCTTGCCCCTTTCGGAGGCCATCAGCACCCAGAGGAAATCCCCTCTGATTCGGAATCGCAAGACTGGCTCCATGGAGGTATCACAGCCGCCATCACACTCAACCACCTACTATGCCAATCATTGTACAGTGTGCTTTGTAAAATACTTGTATAAATCTCTGTGGCGTCAAATTGACTGAATCAGGCAGGGTTTTATGTACCATAATTCAACAGTTCTATTTGTGTCTGTGCACAGGTCCTATCGGAAAGCTCATCCTCTAAAGGGGGGAGCTATCGCCTCTTCCCCTCCTGCTCACGTCAGTCTCCAGAGATGAAGCAGAGCGGATTAGGTTGGTATCATGTGTCTGTCCCTCAGTCAGCCTCAACAACTGCTGTTTATCTCTTCTCCCTGACAGGAACACACCCTCTCAATCCAAGGCAACACTATATTGCATGTTATTTCCGGTGTAAAAGCCATTAGCTGACCACTTGCATAGACGTTACCTAGGAAATTGGTGGATACACACTTCAGATCCAGACAGAGACGGAGTTTGTTGCATGATGGTGGGATGATGCTGTTCATTTTTAGACATTTTGGAGCAATCATTCTGTGTTTTGCTTTAGCCTATTTAAACTGTGTTTTAAATAAATTAGTGCTGTAATCTGTGATGACCGTTTAGTTGGCTTTTTATACACCTATGAAAGAAAGTGCCTTGAATTTGCTGCAATTCTAAAAGTTTAAAATTTTGCATGGTAAAAAAGCATATTTCAAACAAGGTTGAAAATTGGCAAAATATAATCCTGCATGCAGTCTGACATATTTCATACCTAACTATTTGAAGTTAATTTGTGTAATCTACTATTAATGACATGTGAACGCTAATGTTCACTAATATCATACTTATCTGCTGTTTTGCTAAGGTTTTTTTTTTTGTGTTCATAATTGCTCCTAATAGATATAATGTATATATTTCCATGAAAATTTCCCTGCCCAGAACATTGCTTCTGTCTTTTGTTCATTAGATTTCGCTCTACTAGCCTGTCATTGATGTTCGCCAAACCGTAATGGTTTTGGCATGAGTCATGTATTATGATTTTATAGTCCTCTCACTCCCTCTGCAGTAACTGCTGTGTTTTGATTAATAAGTGCATGTGGTTGGTGTGCACACTAATTCCGTGATCTAACCCCCTCTGCAGGCTCTCAGTGCGCTGGTCTCTTCAGCACCACCGTCCTGGGGGGCTCCTCTAGTGCCCCTAACCTTCAGGACTACGCACGCACACACCGCAAAAAATTCTCCTCAGGCAGTTTGACCTATAAAGACGGTATGTGCTCAGTCCACCTTCTCTCACAGAGATAATAAAAGAGTTTACAATGCAGGAACTCTAGGTAAAGGGCACTTCCTGTAAAGTTTAGGATTAAGAACTCTCGTTACATCAGGTCCTGATGGTGTATCGCACATCTCGCTGTCATACTCACCATTTCAGATCTGGTTCATGTTCATGGTCTTGAATGTGTGGTGTCCAAAAGCTCATGGAGTCTGCTGTGTCATTTATTGTCGTTCTGAAATTGTCTTTGTTTCTTGTCATTTATCATATTTTGTGAGCAGTGTTTTATTTTTGACATCATTTAAATGGAAGCACATATTTTTATGTACCGCAGCAGGAATCCAAAAAAGTTTGAAGCAAAAACATGGTAAGATTGTAGATTTAGTAAACGGCAAACTATTACCCATTAAATTGGTGTTGAAATTATTACTAAATTTGATAAATGATTCAGTGCTCTTTGGAGTGCTCTTACATACCGATTCCTTCCAGAATGTTCAGTTTTTACTCTCCTGGTGAAACACTTTGTCCACAAGGTGTCAGTGTCACATTGTTTGGCGTTCTCCCCGTTTCAGTTCCCATTTCCTGTCCTGTTTTCTTTACTGCCGTTTTGCAGTTCTAACTTTACTTTCTCATTTGTTACTATTGTATACATGAGCCTTTATATTTATGCTTATTAGCTTCATTTTAAACCTCTGGCTGGTCTCTAGGACTGGCTGGTCATTCCCCAGTTTCTTTGTCTTCACTGTTGTGTGTGGTTGTGTCCTGTGAAGGCATTGCTGTTACGCTACAGGCTCTCAGAGCTGCTTAAATTACATAGGTGAGGGGTTGATCTGACCGTCTCAAGCTTTTCATGCTTCTGTCCACCATTTTGTTTGTTCTGAGAGATGACATCTGATAAGATGGCATCTGTATTTATAGTAGAGAAGTGCCCATGAAGTGACAAGCCCAAAATATTACTGTAGCTAAAGCGTTATAAATAGATCCACTCATTTACTGTGGCGACTCTGTGAAGACATTTAAGCAGACTTCTTATTGTCATTTTCTTTTTTCTTCTTTTACTTAAATAGGAATAGCCTCAGTGAACCTATCTGTGAGATTAACATCTTCCTCGTAATATGAAACATTCTCACTCTTTAGCTAAAACGCGACTAAACGCTGCTCTTCCTGCTTCCTGTCCCAGTGTTTCCGAGTCTGTATCCTGCTGTAGTCACAGTAGAAGCCCAGCCCTACTACACTCCTCACCCTACTATCCTTGACAGTCTCACACCTTCAGCTCTGTAACACCATCCCCATCCTACACAGGTGTACTGTAAAAATGGTAACTAGTGACCTTTTTTATTTCCTCAGAGTTGTTGTCTATGCCGGCAGTAAAGCGATTTTCTGTGTCGTTTGCAAAGCATCCGACTAATGGTACGTCTGCTTCTCTTCAAGTATATTTCCACTTTTTCTTTTTCCTCCACCTCCCTTTGTTTTGCATGCCAATGGAAACCTATTTTCTTTTCGGAAATTTATGTTGGTTTTGTTTTCTTTCACGTGATTTCTGCCATCTTTTTAAACATTCAACCAGCCTCTTACCCTTTCCACATACACCACTATCGCTATCTGAAACCTCCTGCGGACAACTCTCACTCTCACCCAGTGACTCAATGTTAATCAGTTTATGATTGACTGTTTGTGTGGATGAGTTTAAGCACGTGTTTGTGTTTCCTGTGCTTGTATGTGCACAAGTCTGTGGGGCGGTGAGTGTAGTACGCTGCAAAAAAATATCATGTTCTTATGTCAGTATTTTTGTCTTGTTTTACATTTGGGAAGAAAAATTACATAAGATTCATTATGTTTGAACAGCAGTGTATGTCCGAGAGAATATATTGAATTAAGTTATTAAAAAAACAATTAGTAAATTCACTGAGAAAAATAAAGTGAGAATATATATTCTCTGAAATCAAGTTAAAATATTTTGTATAATGTTGTAAAGTAATTGAATTTAGTTTGTGATCATTTCTATGAAAATAATAACAAAAATACTGAGATACTAAGATGATGATTTTTTTTTTCAAGTGTACAATTATGAATAGATATTCAAGATAATGAATCTGAGCCACTACTGGACAGTACACCGGTGATTAAACCTTTCCCCTGTTAGCTCTCGTATTAATGAACAGTGTTTTTCACTGTTTTGACAGGTTTTAATAGCAGACAGGGATTGTTCACTGGGAAGTGGTTCACCTGACACTCTTTTACCCCATTAATCTTCTCTCTTTTTTATTTAAATTCAATGTGGTTGTGCACTGTAATTATGTTAAATGTTGTGAATGTTGAGTTATGAAGCCAAGGAGTATTTTACCCTGTTTTTCTTTGATTCTTCATGGGAGGCAGCTTAAAATCTCAGCGCTCTACATCTGCAGTCCTGTCTACAGAAAAAGAGGCCATTATATTTGGAAATGCTAAAAACGACTAGCATTTCTTTCAAATTGAAATCTTCAAAAATGAGAGTAAAATAACCTACCACACTTGCAGAAACAGATGAACTCCTAGCCAGTGTCTTTTGTGGTTCTCAACACATGTGCTGTGCATAATCTGCATGTTTATGTTATGTTGGTTTAGATGATATCAGTGTATTTCTCTCTCTGGAAAAGAATCGTCTTCCATATGTTGTGATCAAAAGGATGTCCGGAGATGTTGTCTAGCATAAACAAACCTGAATGGAGGTGATAACAAAGGTCAAGAAGAACAATGCAAAAGAGCTGCTTGTAAACTGATGTGAATTACCGCAGTGTGTTATGTAGGTGTATTTGGACACAGTCCTGTATGTGTTCAGTACATCTCATGCAAAGCTTAAGATGGTCCCTGATCCACCTACACTATCCCATTCCCTGCCAGATCCCACACTCTCTACCCACCACACATTCCCAGCCATCCAGCTCTTCGAAGCCTTTCACATAGGAGCCTTTCCTCCAACCTAATTATGTCTATGTAGTTAATAAGAAATACTCGCTTGCCTTCATGTCTCTGAAACGAGTGCACACTCTTTAATTTAAACAAATTAAATTCATTCAGCCTAATTATTATCCTTTTGTGTTTTCCCCGGTAAGTGTGTAAATGTGGGTCAGGTGGGTATCAACCTTCACCACAAGGATAGTTAAACCTGCAATCTTCTACATTGTGGGCCCCTCCCAATGGTGCACATGATGAAACGGCTTAATAAAGAGATCGTATAATGTTTTAATTAAAATCCAAAAAGGCCAAAAGGTTTCTGTAACGAGTTGTGTTGGGTGTAGCAAATATAATTTACTGATTTACTATAAAAACAATTGAAGTAATTAGAAAATGCACACTATGAACAAATGTGTGTTTGTGTTGGAACAATTGGTTATGATCTAATGACAAATGACATGAACCTAATGAAACTCAAGTATGCATTCAAGCCGCTGAGCCTGATTTTTCATTGGTTCGTAAAAGGATTCTTTATAAACTGCATTCATTAGCAACATTTACAACAAAACTCTACAAACGAAATAATTTTTGTAATATTTTTAAATGATTTAAATAAGTAGTAATTACAATTTTTAAATATTCAAATAGAATGGAAGGGGCATTTGTCTAACAATATTAGTAGCCATCAGGAACATTACCAACAATCTATGTTAAAGGTGTATAAAAATGGCGTTTAAACTAGCACTGAAAAATTTGGGGTCAGTAAGAAATTTGAAATATTTATGCTCATCAAGGCTGCATTTATTTGATCAAAAATACAGTAAAAACAGTAATATTATTACAATTTAAAATAACTGTTTTCTATTTTAATGTATTATAAAATGTAATTTGTTCCTTTGGTACTTGTTTAAAGCTGAATTTTCAGCATCATTACTCCAGTCTTCAGTGTCACATGATCCTTCAGAAATCATTCTAATATGCTGATTTCCTGCTGAAGACATGTTTATTATTAGTGTTGAAAACAGTTGTGCTGCTTACTATTTTTGTCGAAAGTTGTTGTTTTTTTTGTCCAGGATTGTTTGATGAATAGAAAGTTAAAAATAAACAGAAGTCTTTTGTAATATTATAAATGTCTTTACTGTCACTTTTGGTCAATTTAATGCATCCTTGCTGAATAAAAGTATTATTTTCTTAAAAAAAAAAAAAAAAAAAATCTTACTGACCACAAAGTTTTTGTGTAATGATGTGACCTTCTCATGGTGTAGTATTCTAGTCGGGCTGTGATGTTTGACTCCACTGAGCACTGTATTCACTTCAGGCACACAGGATGACACTTCTGCCGTGGCGGTTAAACCACCTCTATGGTGGTCTGGCTCAGGTAAATGATAGATCTTTATCCCACTGTGCAGCTTTAATCCAGTCAGGACGATTGAGTTAATCCACTGGGCCTAACTACACAGTGTCCGTGTGCATGCTGAAGAACTCACAGTGTGAGGAAAAGTAGATCTGTTTAGAAGTTCTAGATGTCAGTGTGGGAATGTAGACCATGTCTGTGTATAGCTTAGTGAGTTGTTCCTTGAATCCCTTGTGGTCTTGTGCCTTAAGCGATGAATGTTGACTCCAGGAGATGGTACTGTTTCCTTTGCACTCTCTGTGCATAGAACTGTACACCATTGTTTGTGGATGAAGGCGGTGGACTACAATGGACTTAAGTGCTGCTGTGTGTTTGCTTGGGATTACCTGCTGGTGACCAGTTGCTCAAGGCCCTTGTTTAGGTGTGTTTAAATGTGGAGAAGTGTCTATTAAACGCTGTCAGACCTATTGTGGGGAGTTTTTCTGATAGCATGCTGAGTAAATGAAACGGTAATCTCTGTACCCATGAGGACCCCATGCCCTCACCCGTCTGCTTTCCAACCCCTACTTCCCACTCTTCTCTTCCCTGCTTTGCCTCTTCTTCCTCAGAACCCCTGGAAGAGCACCAGGTAGCCCAGCTGCTGAGGCGCTTTTCCAACGACCCCAATATTGGCCACCCGTTCTGTTTGGACAGTGCTTTTGCCCACCACCTCCATCAATGCTCCTACCATCTCCGCCTCTTCCGCAACTGGTTAATCTCTGGCCAGGACCCACTAGAGTACCTTTACGGTCAGCCCTGCGGAGGTCGTTCCGTGCCCTGCTGTGCCGTGACTGCAGTAATGGCCTCAGCTTTGCTCTAGCGCCTCTGCTGTTTGAAGCATGCTTGTGTTATTGGGAAAAGCAGCTTGCAGTGACACAGCTCTTGTTTTTGTTTTTCTTTAACTTAATGAAGTTTATGTAGATTGTGAATATTTTTTTAGGGCTATCAGGAAAATAAAATTAAAATAAAGTGTGATTAATCTTGTGCTTAATGTAAAATTGTTTAATTTGCTACGCTGTTTTCTTGTTAAAAACACACTACCGTTCAAAAGTTTGGGGTCATTAATATTTTTTAAAGTAATTAATACATCTATTCAGCAAGGACACATTAAATTGATCAAAAGTGACAGTAAAGACTTTTACATTGTTACAAAATGTTTCCAATTAAAAATAAATGCATTTTTTTTTTCTATTCATTAAAGAAAACTTAAGGATGTGACACTGAAGACTGAGTATTGGCTGCTGAAAATTCAACTTTGCCATCACAAGAATAAATTACATTTTAAAATATATCCAGAAAACAGGTATTTTAAATGGTAATAATAAGTCACAATATTACTGTTTTTATTTATTTTTGATCAAATAAATGGAGCCATGGTAAGCATAAGAGATGTCTTTCAGATACATTCAAAAATCTTACTGACCCCAAACTTTTAATGAAGTGTAATGAAAATGAACTAATGAAAGGGAACTAAATAACATGCAAGAAATATTTTCCCACCAATGCATAGGTGATATTTCAGATTTTTTTTTTTACTCATTTACCAATTTTTTAAAAATTAATTACACCATAAAAAAGATTGTAATTGACTTTTGTTAATGGTCCCAGCTGGATTGAATTAATAAATGAGCCCTAAAGAGGGTCACCTGTGCTGGTACTCTTGCAAGCTATTCAGACCAGTATTTAGAAAGGACAGAACAGATTGAAACATGTTTTGATGTTGAATTTGGCGTTGTTCAGAGAAGAGGATGGAGAAGCATTAGGAGTGATCTCTCGCTGCTGTTTGCTGGGGTGTGTTGTGTGTCAGATGCATGCCAGTGGCATCTGATTGCAACTGTGTCAGCTTACAGTCGCATCGACTCTCTGACGTATCAAAGTGACAGTTACAGTGACTGACTTGCATGATAGTGGCATATGATTTGAAAGAAAAAGGAATATTGTAAATTTCTGTTCCAATTGTGAGTTATTATTTTCCAAATTTTTATTGTATTAAACTCTCAATAATTATTTAAATCGCTACTTCATACATAATCATACTCTTGCTTGTTTTTTGTTTACATTCTCCATTTTCATAAGTAATAGTCAGAAGTGATGTTTTGTCATGAAATACATGTCTCCTTTTATAAAGTCATGCACTGATTACATGATGATCTGCAGGTGCAGTTCTCACATCCATTCCTGTTTTTATTGCCGTCTCTGCCAGCTCCCTCCTAATTTACGTGTGTTGCTTTCATCTACATTAAGAGTTTGGTTTTTCCAACTAAAAGAAGTGCATAGAGACTAACAATTCATTAACAATGGAGCTTTTTTGTTTTACTTGAAGTTGTGTGTGTAGCTACATTACTACCAGATTATGTATTAGTCTTCATTTTTGAATGTAGATTTAGATTTCCTATGTAATACTGTACGTGCCAAGTCTTGAATGAATGGTAAGGAAGATGAGGTTGGTTTGTTTGTGTGCATGTATGTCTGAATGTTTCCCGCCTGTGACTCTGTTTGTGATTCTGTCACTAACAAGGGTTTGGCAGTAGGTGAAATGACCATTGTCATTGGTTCAGTGGTTATAGACACTTTAGTTTTTCTTAGGTGTACACTGATGTCTGAATAGAGGACTGTTTTCTCTCATCACTTCTCTCATCTGTAGGTTTTGAAGGCTGCTCCATGGTGCCCTCCATCTACCCCCTCGAGACCCTCCACAATTCGCTCTCACTAAAACAAGTCAACGAGTTCCTGACGGCCGTGTGTGAGAATGCAGGAGATTCCCACACCAGGACAACCAGAGGTGATGCCCATAACACCACTCTTTCCATGGATTTAAGTAACCCAGGAAATGACTAATAACATGGCATAGGTTTAGGTCACTCTCAGTTCTTTTGATACTGTAATATAATGCACTTGTGTCCTAACCGTGTGTGCTTGTCTCCGCTTCTGTAGCTTTCTCAGCCATGTTTGACTCCCAGAATCAGCCCACAGGGGAATCTTACATGCCTCACAGAGTGCTGTCCTCCTCTGTTTCAATGCGCCAGCGATCTGATCGGCCGCCCTGGTGTAAGTACTGCTACCCTAAGCTAATTCACATGGAGAATACTCTCAGTACTCAGCATGGGACAATGATATTTGTTAATATTTAAACAACTGGTCCATCCAACTTATGTAACACATTGCAAGCTAAATTCATACATTTTCATGTATGTTGGGATATAATTATGCAAGGTAACAGGATTGGCAGTACACGACAGCCTCGTGCTCACGATTTTGCTTCTTAGAATAAGGATTTACTGTTGATTTCTACAAATATACACTTTTCAATGATCAGTTCTTTACTATACAAAGTCATTGTAACAGTGCTGATTCTTTTTAATAATACAGTATGTCCACTAAAATCCAAAAAAATATAAATAGAAAGAATAAAGATAAATGCTAGCTTTTAATTTTCATATGTTTTTAAATAAAACTGTGTATATTTTGCTAATACATCAAGGAGTAGTGAAAACAGGGGTTGAACAGGCAAAAAAGGGATCCTCATGATGATAGAATTAGTAAAAAAAGCAAAAAACATGTCAAAGTAGAATAAAGTTACTGGATTTTTCTTGATGCATTTAAAAAAACATCTATTTAATTAGCACATAGTAAATCAACTGTCATCTGAAGTCATTTTTTACACAAACACATATGTATGAGAGACACATGGCACCTGTGTGTGTGTGTGTGTTTCTCCATGCAGACAGCAGTGGTCCCTCAAGTACAGTGTCGAGCGCCGGCCCCTCGTCTCCCACCACGGCTGACACATCTCCTCGCTTCAGCTTCAGTGAGAAGATCACCCTCACGCCGCAGAGCAGCGAGGAGATCCACCCGACCCCTCACAACAACAGCCACTGTGTGTCTTCCACGTCCGAAACCAGCCTCCCCTCTGAAGACCCCCTCCCCTCCATACCATCTCCCATCCCGGAGAAACCCAGTGAAATAGAAGTGGACGGCACAGACTCTGCTGGCCAGTGTCTGACAGAGAGGCCCTGCCGTGATGAAGTGTCAAGTCCGGCCCCTGTGGAGCCCACTCCTCCCTGCTCTCTCATGGCAGACAGTTCGCCGCTGACGGAGTCCTCTTGCGGGATGCCCGGCTCCCTGCCTGTGCTTCTGGAGCTCAGAGAGAGCAGCTCAGAGGCCGGCTCCAGCGCCCAGACCCCACTCACGCCCGACGAGCCGGATGAGTTCTTTGATACACAGGAAACGGTTGATGTGTGGGGGGGGAACCCGGAGACCCTGCCACACCCTGGGACGCCACTGGAGGTGGGAGCTCCACATGTGCCTGAGCCGTGAAGGAAACGCAGACCGGGCAGCTCCCCCATATACGTGCGTCCTTCGTCCCATCCCAGCATGCTCTCGCTGTAGTGCCTCAGACCTTCATAAAGTCCTAAGCAAGTCAAAGTGGGATTCCCCTACGTAATTTAAGGGAATAAATGGAGGCCCTCCCTGCGATTGTCACCTTTTGAACTTGAAGCTCAAATGCTCCTGTTAAAAATCTTAATAAACTCTCCTTGTGTTTAATTCTGTAGTGTTATTCAGAGATGCTTCCCGTGTAAAGCATCACTCTAGTCCTACGGCCAGTGAGCAAACATAAGCTGTTAGACGCACTGAAATATTTTTATGTGCACATATTATCTTCCTTGTCTCCAAACGACTGCATTTTTTTTTTTTTCATTAGCTGGTCTGGAAGATATTTTTCAAAGGGACGTGATATTTGATACTAGTTTGTGTTTGCTAAAGTACTTAGTCAAGCTCTTGAATAATGAACTTACACAGCTAAATGCATATTAAAGGGATAGTTCACCCAAAAACGAAGATTCTGAAAAAACTCTCGTCGTTCCAAAACCATAAGACTGGCCCTTGACTCCCAAGTTTCTGGCCCTCCACTAGGAAACTTTGATGCTTTAAAAAGGTCATAAAGACGTTGTAAAAGTAATCCATCCAATGTATGAATCGAGCGAATCAAGTCTTCTGAAGAAACATGATCACTTTAAATGATGAACCGATTTAGTTTAGGCATTTATTCACACATAAACATTGATCAACACGCATACATAGAGCACATCAAATATGGAAAATGGAATTTTCCATATTTGATGTGCTCATGTATGTGTATTACTCAATGTTTTTATGTAAAAAAAAAGCCTAAATTAAATCTGTTCATCATATAAAGAAATCATGTGTTTTCAGAATACTTGCCAATATTTCTTTTACTTTTTTAAAAGGTGAAATATACTTTCAATGGAGGGACATCTCTCAAGTTTGATTACAAATACCTTCATTTGTGTTCTGAGACTGAAGATGAACAGAAGTCCAATGGGTTTGGAACATTAGAGTGAGCAAATGATGACAGAATGTTTTTTTTTTTTTTTTTTTGAACTATTCCTTTAAATTAACGCTACCATTTTATTACTGTTTGCCAAAGCTTGCTATACCACTGTCATAATTTATTAAATCATTATAAAATACATATATATTTAGTCTATATATATATTTATTGACTAATATGCAGCTTACTTTTAACAATGAGACTGCAAATGAGTAAGTCTCCTTTTTTGATATTTTAGTTTTTATTTTTGTAAAACATACAGTGCTCTCGTGGTTTTAAATAATGAAATAGTGGTCTTCATTTCAACTACATTTCTCTCGCTTCACCTTTTTGACAAATGAAATACTTTTTTGTACCGTGACCCTCCCGTTTGGAATCAAATGAAGAGTGTCGTGTACCGAGATTACCATGACGCACAAAAAAAAAAAAGAAGTTTTGTCTGCTTACTGTTTAAAAAAAAAAAGAGAGAAAGATGCTGCTTTTCAGAAGCATATACTGTACTCTTTTTCTTTTGATCTGAACCTGTTCAGGATAAAAAACATTAAGTAAACCTTGGATAGTGGACGTTGTTTACTGAGCATGCAGAATGTGCGTGTAAAAGTAACCGACTCTCACTGATGTAGGACCACTGAGCTTGCAAGACCTCTAGAATCTAGAGACGAGCATTTCACTTCCAACCTCCAGCAGCGTCTGTGAATTATTCCACTCTGCTCAGAGTACAGCGAAGCACACTGAACCCACTGACAACTGTTTCTATAATCATTAAAGCATCTGCCTCTGATAGATTCAACTCAAACGTGTCGTACTGTTGGTGCTGTATGCCGTCTGTGCTGTAGTATTAAATGCCACTTTGATTTAGTGTTTCAAATAAAAATGGCATTGTCTACAGAAAACAATTGTCTTTTTATAACTTCTTATGAGTGAACTGCACTGATTAGATATAAAAATCAAGCACCAGGTTTCTCTGTATTTGACAAGTGGACCTTATTTCACTTGAACCGACAAAAAAATGTAAATTTTCCTCACTAGGTCTGGCATTTCCATATTTGCAATACTTAATTTACTGTCTCAACAAGTGTACACTTGTATAAGCATCATTATCTCTAACCGTTATTCATCCTCGTAACTCGTTGGCATGACAGCGAGGTTCTTATCCTTCACCACCTGGAGGGTTTTCATTCTGTTTACCGCAACCGAAACACATCTTCAACAAGGCATAGTGAACCATCTTCATAGTATCACATCTGAATTCAAGTCCCACCAGCAAACAGAATCCAAAATGTATGTATTTCCATATGATTAGGATCACTGAACAGTAGGGCATTGTTGGCATTTCCCGCTGCTGTGCCAAGCACTGCTTTCTGTTTTCTTTAACACAAGGCTGTTGTTCATTTCCATGCCTTTCTCTCAGAAACAGACATGGATGGAAGAAGAGATAATAGGCATGTGACCCAGACAGTGATGTCATCGTCATGTGAATTCAGCTCGCTTTTCGGTAGGGAGGCTGCTATGTAGGCTGATCCCCTATTCTTTCAAACCCTCGAATCGTGTGAATGTGTTCTAGAACATTCTTTGCTTTAATTTTATTCAAGATGTTTACTGCAGTAAATGAATCAAAACGAGTCTTTTCAGGCTTGAAATCGAAATAAAGGACTCAATATTCAGTGTTTTATCTCAAACTCTATGTAAAACTATAAAATAATTTCAACTAGTTGCCAAGGAAACATTAGTTTAACTTGGTCTTGATCCACTACAATAACAATAAAGTAATAAAAATGGCAAAAACATGACAAAATGACTAAACCTTACTGAAATTAAAACTAATTCAACATATTGATAAAAACTATAATAGTATCTTACTAACATAACTCTGTATAAAAGTACATAATGTTTGACGTATGTACTTTTCATTTATTTTAAACGTGTGGTTACACTTTATTCCACTTTAAAAATTCTACTAACTGTAATTAAATTTGCAACTACCTGTCAACTAACTCAATTCAAATTTATTTGTATAGCGCTTTTCACAATACATATTGTTTCAAAGCAGCTTTACAGAAAGTGCATTTCAGAAATGTACATAGAAAAAATACAGTTAGTTAATCATGTATTAATTTAGGGCATAACATATAAACTCTCATTAGAGTATTAGTAGACTGGTTAGTAGAATAAGTTGACATGTAGTTGCAAAGTTACTTATAGTTAGTAGACTGTCTAAAGTGGACTATTGAAATAAAAGTGTTATTTCAATGAAAATAAGGTGTATACTCGCATTAGATTTCCGTGGGAGACATTCCATGATTCTGACAGCTGACTCAAGGAAAGGCTCAAACTTGTTGATATTTTTCCATTAACATATTTTATTAGTGATTATCAGGTTTACCTTTCTACAACATTTGTAGACACTCATTTAGAGAGCTTAAAGAAAGATACAGAGTATTGCACATAAAGAGAGAGAAAAATAAAAGCAAACGTAATGAAAACATGGAAAATGAAAAATAAATCCAAGTCTACATTTTCTTAACAACACTGCACGCTGGAAATGATAGCGCGGCCTGGTTATATGTGCCTTTCAGTACAATTATCATTTAAATATGTTTAAAATAGTACTTTATTTAATATAACTATGAACTATTACATACAAGTTCGAAATTAAGATCACATGCATTAAACAGCTAGGCTCAATGGAATGCTATATTTCAGTTTTGATTCTACTGAGATGGCAAACTCAACATTGCAACTAAGGGATGTTTTGCACAGCACATCACGACTATTTTATTTTTCAAACTTTTTCAGTTGTCATCTTAAAAAAAAATCAAACAAAATAAATAAATCACACAAGACACTTACAAATCTTGAATATAAAACGTGATCAGTGATCTAGTCACTTGATCTGGCAGTCTGCAGTCTGGTACTTGTATGTGTTTGTTTTGTTTTCTGTGGTACTGCGAAGTCACATCTGGGTTTCACCATGTCACGCAGAACATCTCTGCAGCACAGCCAAATAACCAGTAGCTCAAAAGTTACAGCACCTTAAAAACATTAGAGGCAAGCATTAACCGTGTATCCTCATACATTTATCCTCAGAGAAATATAAAGGAGTGTGCTGAACCATACAGTATTCTGTCATTTTGTCTAGATTTTTCTCCAATGATGAAGGTCAACAATCAAATCTTATTGACCAATAAGAGAGACTATGTAAATCAGAATTGTAAAAACTAAAATCTTGTGAACAGTATGAATATTACAGTTTCAATTTGGACCCAAATGGAACGGAACTAAAAAAAAAAGACGTTTTCCCTTAAAACCTTCTTTCTTTAATATAGGAATGGATTGAGCCAAGCACCTAAAAGCATAGCAGTACTTAAATGCATGTTCAGGCTGTTACCTCATGGTAATATACATGCAGCGCATACAGTACTTTAACACAGTTTTCTATCCATCAGTCGTTGATACAAGATCATTATTCCTTTCATCTTTGATCCTGCTCTGTGACAAGAGCAGTAGTGTCACATGATCAGATATTTTTTAACCTTACATATTTAAAAATGCACAAAGAAAAACGTTTGCAATTCTGGGCGTATTATGACAGCATGTTTTCTGTCCATCACTGCTCATTCTGAACAGAGAGACAAAAAAAATAAACAGTAAAAAGTGATCAGTTGACTTAACTACCTGTAAGATACCTGTAAATAAACTTAAAGCGTAATTGAAAAAATGAAGTCATGTGGAATTGTCAAGTTCACATAACTTAATTTTTTCAATTACGCATTAAGTTTATAACTTAATAATTTTAAGCCCCCTCTTTTTAAGTTAAGTCAACTGATCACTTTTTACAGTGAACTTGCCAGTCTTTGAATCAAGAAATTACTTGTATACTTCAAAATGTCACCTATATCCTCATCGTTTATTGATTGGAAAACAACAGCTCTTGCAGTACCGGTCAAGATAAAGGTTTATGTCTCATATAAAAGCCACAATGTGCTTTGAATAACTTTAAACACACAATAACATTTTTGGAATAGGTTTAAGTGCAGTATCCGTAGCTCACTTCTTTCATATAACCCTATGCAAAAACATGGAAAAAAACTTTCATACATAATTGTATTCATTGAATACCATGCATTTCCATTGGCTTGCATTTTCTCAGTCATCCTTTCTTCCCATTCCTTTACATTAAGCAATTTTGTCTTATATACATTTTATAACCAATAGAAATCAAGGGGAAATCATTACAAGGTGCTAAAGAAGTTTCTTCAAAATCGGACGAAATTAGGAATAAAACATACTTCTCAATGTCATAAACACTAAAAATAATCATAAACTCTGTGAACATACACTTTATACATCATTTAATGAGAAAATAAGATTTGACTCCAAAACTTCCACTCTGTTATTTAGTGCTGACAATAAACCTACCATCTAAACATTATTCTTTATTCAATTGTTTTTCAGCATTAATTTACAAACAGAATTTTGTCCCGATCTAGTAGCAATCTTTAATTACTATTATTAATTTAATGTTGCTGATGCTGTCATTCTACTATACAAATTCAAAGCAAGGACAGGAATGTAAAGTCATTTTGTGCAAAGCACATAAGTTGCAGCACAACTACATGTCCAGCATATGCATTTTTATTTAATTATTTTTAAATCTCTTCATCTTTTTTGTTAACTAAATTCCTATTTGTGAAAGACTAGCACCCAGGTATTTGTTAAACTCTCTGCGGAGTTATATAGCCTCAATTGCCATTTGCACAGTAGGTATCTGAATGTGGGAAACCTTGATTAATAGAAGATTATTTTACATGTAGAGTGTGTGTTTGTGCTATGTAAGAGGATGATATATAAATCAGGGCCTCAAAGCAAATGAGAAAGTGTACATGAACTAATCAGATGAAAGCAGGGGTATCTAATCTGGTTGAGAAGCAGTATTTGGTGACTTTCTGGTGCTTTTGTTCATAAATAAGTAAAGAGGTATACTTGTGCTTCAGTTAAATATCATTGTAAACAAGGCTATACAGTATATCAACTTTGTTATTGTATTTATCACACTCGTTTGGTAACCTTGTTCAGTATAAAACTATGACTGGGAATGTGACCATGAAAACTAGTTTAAACAAGTTTGGCCCAAAATCTAAGGGTCAAGAATTTTCAGCAAGAAATCTATTACCTTATGTATGTATTGTACAACGTAAAGGGAAAAGCCACCCTGAAAAGTGAAGGCACGTCTTCCTTTTGTTCTCTTGAATTCTAGTAGCTAAACTCATCACAGGAAATGATCATTTAGGTTTGGATTTTAGGGCAATAGACAACATGTGCTGTTTTAAACCATGAGAAGTTAAAAATAAAAAGTGAGTAAACTACAATCAAGGCTGTAACGGACCATTTGAGAGAAAAGATGTGAACCTGGGAGCCATGTTGAATTTAGAACTCTATTTTGCAGGCAGGGAATGACTCGTCCTGCATCACAACTGTGCTGCTGCTGGCCAGGACCATGATGTTCAGCTCCTGTTGCTTCTCATGGGTCTGCTGATACCACTCACGGGTCACTTCTGTGTCATGAGTAGGTATCAATGTTACCTACAATAAGTACAGTGTAAGAGTAAGAGAAATAGTATAGCAAAGTATTAGTAATAGCACAGTGAGCTTCATTCATTGACCCCCCATTTACTGTATATGCATAGCATCAATAGAATATCCATCAAATGAATCAGCAAATGACAAACTTCCAATGTTGACATCTATAGAGAGACAAACAGAGAGACCAATTAACAAATATTATACCTGTAGATTGGATCCCCACTGTGCCTTTCCCTCTAGCAAGGCGTCTAGTACACTACGGCCCGGTTCTCCACTGCTGGAGTCGTTTCCACTCACTACATAATATGCAGAG